TGAAATGAAATAAGAGATTCTAAAAATCACCTGCTACTGACTTAAAACTCAAAATGTACTCAATGAAGGCTATGACACATTTCAAAATAGAGAGAAAACATTAGATATTTTGTACAGTAAAGGATAGCATACAATCAGATCAACTAGACCTCCCTGCCCCATTCCTGCCTAGGGAAAGGAACAGAGTTTTCTCTTTTTGCTCTGTGAAGGTACCTTAGATGTCTTCCAAAGTACAGAATGAAATCAAAAGTGAGATTGGTGTGAGGTAAAATCACATCATAAACTTGACTTCACCTTCCCTGCTTTGGGGAAAAGATGAAGTTGATCTCATGACTTCATTTTGCCCTTCAGATGCTGCATCCCACACAAGGACAAAGTAAAATTGAATGTGGGCCTCTTAGAATTATAATATTAATTGACTGTGATGATTTTAATTATTTGAATACTTAATTAATTTTAATGCATAGAGTGGTCCAACTTTGTTTGTTCGTTGAGTAAAAATATTTCCATCTGCAGTGATCGTGGAGCCCAGGAAGGTAAAATCTGTCATTGCCTCCATATCTTCCCCTTCGATTTGCCAGGAGGTGATGGGACCAGTGGCACTCTCCTCTTTCACCTTCATTAAGAGGTTCTTTAATTCTTCCTCACTTTCTGCCATCAGAGTGGTATCGTCTGCATATCGGAGGTTATTGATATTTCTTCCGGCAGTCTTAATTCCGTTTTGGGATTCCTATAGTGCAGCCTTCCGCATGATGTATTCTGCATATAAGTTAAATAAGCCGGGGGACAATATACAGCCTTGTCGTACTCCTTTCCCAATTTTGAACCAATCATTTGTTCCATATCCAGTTCTAACTGATATTTCCTCTCCTGAGGTTTCTCGGGAGATAGATAAGGTGATCAGGCACTCCCATTTCTTTAAGGACTTGCCATAGTTTGCTGTGGTCCACACAGTCAAAGGCTTTTGCATAATCAATGAAGCAGAAGTGGATGTTTTTCTGGAACTGACTTTCTCCATAAACCAGCACATGTTAGCAATTTGGCCTCTAGTTCCTCTGCCCTTTTGAAATGCAGCTTGTACTTCTGGGAGTTCTTGGTCCACATAATGCTGAAGCCTACCTTGTCGGATTTGGAGCATAACCTTGCAAGCGTTTAAAATGAGTGCAATTGTACGGTAGTTGGAGCATTCTTTGGCACTGCCCTTCTTTGGGATTGGGATGTAGACTGATCTTTTCCAGTCCTCTGGCCACTGTTGAGTTTTCAAAACTTGCTGCCATATTGAGTGTAGCACCTTAACAGCGTCATCTTTTAAGATTTTAAATAGTTCAACTGGAATTCTATCACCTCCTTGTTGTTAGTGATGCTTCACTCTCCAGGATGCCTGGCTTAAGGTGGGCAACCACACTATTTGAGGTGGCCAGGAATCCATATCTTTCTGGTATAATTCCTGTGTGTATTCTTGCCACCTCTTCTTGAGGTCTACTGCTTCTGTAAGGTCTGTACCATTTTTGTCCTTCATGTCCATATACAAGGGCCTAGAATATATGTCCAATATTCTGGAGTGAATTCAAGAAGAAGGTATGCCCAAAATACGATTTGAGGCTACATTGTAATAATTCATTATTATAACATATAGACAAACTTCATATGCTATAATCATAATACTGTAATCTAGGCCAGTATAGCATCACAATAGACATCAGTGCATGAAATATGCACTTGTGTAACATATTATGTGTATCACTGTCAACTATGCTATATGTGTATCACTGTCAACAATGCTTAGTGCTGTAACTAATACATCAGAACATCAAGTATAATACAGCGCATAGTAAATGTTTTCCAACAATAAACATAACCCACTATTATCTTTTTTTTCTAGTTGATGGTTGCAGAGAAGAATGGGACTATACGGTTCTATGATCTTAGGACCCATCAAGCGATTCTATCCCTCACAACTGATCAAACACCTCTGATGTCTGCAAGCTGGTGTTTAAAAAATACTTTTAAAGTTGGCGCAGTTGCTGGAAATGACTGGTTTATCTGGGACATTACTCAGTCTAGGTATAGTTTTGGATAGCATCTGGTTAATTTCTGTTTCCCAGCTTCAAGATGTTAGTTAAAAGGAGGGGGCACTGAATATACACAAAAAGCTGCAGTCACCCCTGCCCATTGCAATGTAAGTTGTTTACTTCTTTACTATAAATTAGAATGCAGATAAATGAAAATCAAATGTTATGTAAACAAATCTAACATAGAAAAGAAGCAGTTAGCAATGGATTATTACACAATGGAGAAGTGTAAACATCTAGGAGATGGAGTGGCTAACTTAGTTTTCCATCTATTAGACTCCATAATAACTCACAGTATAAACTCAACTACTAACTACATATAGGCCAATATGCTTAATTTTGACTGGGTCATTCCAGTGATCATTTATGTGCACATTTATACACACAGAGCACCTTTTTATGCATTTGTTAAGTATGAACATTGCTTCCAACTGAGCATGTAAACACTGAGTACACTGTATCTGTTTTTGTACTACAAACTGAAACATAATCTGTAACACTATCCAAAAAGGGGGGAAAGTGTTTTTTTTCTTGGTTAAACTGACTGTTTCATCTTCTCTTCACTCCTTATTTCAGTCTATTTTCTCAATAGGATAGCAGAAAATATAAAATATTAACAATACAGTATAGAGAACAACAGGAAAGAAAAAAATCTACGATATTTGAAGCTGAAACTGAAGCTGGGTGCACTGACACTATTTTGCTTTGAAAAATAATTCGACTATGTCATATTACATATGCACCAACTATTTAGTGTACCATTACTTTCACACACATTTCCAAATTTCATTAAAGTTCTATGGGAACACAGCATTGTTACACTTTTTGCTAAAATGGCAGTTGTTTTCAGATAAGGCTGTTTAAGAGGAAATTAACATACTTTTCTAGAGTTTCTGGTAGAGTGAGGTGTTGCTATCCACAATGGTATGCAGTTGAAACATAATCTGTAACACTATCCAAAAAAAGGGGGGGAGTGTTGTTGTTTTTCTTGGTTAAACTGACTTTTCATCTTCTCTTCACTCCTTATTTCAATCTATTTTCTCAATAGGATAGCAGAAAATATAAAATATTAACAATACAGTATAGAGAACAACAGGAAAGAAAAAAATCTACGATATTTGAAGCTGAAACTGAAGCTGGGTGCACTGACACTATTTTGCTTTGAAAAATAATTCGACTATGTCATATTACATATGCACCAACTATTTAGTGTACCATTACTTTCACACACATTTCCAAATTTCATTAAAGTTCTATGGGAACACAGCATTGTTACACTTTTTGCTAAAATGGCAGTTGTTTTCAGATAAGGCTGTTTAAGAGGAAATTAACATACAGTGGTGCCCCGCATAGCGATGTTAATCCATTCCGGATTAATCGTCGCTATGCAAAAACATCGCTAAATGGATCAAAAAACCCCATAGGAACGCATTAAACTTTGTTTAATGCATTCCTATGGGGCCCCAAACTCACAGTTCAGCGAAGTTCCTCCATAGCGCCGCCATTTTCGTGCCCTCGGTAAGCGAGGGCAGGGCGCAAAAATGGTTGCGGTAGCCATTTTGGGCATCCGGCAGCCATTTTGGAACCGCCGATCAGCTGTTTAAACATTGAAAACATCGCAATGCAATTGCATTAGTGGTCTGAAAAAACAGATCGCTATGCGGATTCATCATCAAATGGTGCGATCGTTAAGCGAGGCACCACTGTACTTTTCTAGAGTTTCTGGTAGAGTGAGGTGTTGCTATCCACAATGGTATGCAGTTTCTCTGGAGGGTTTATTATTTATGAAATTGAGTATGAATATCAGTATTAAAAAATATCACTGCTTTCCTTCACAGTTACCCTGCTGAGAAGAGACCTGTCCATGCAGATAGAGCCAGATTATTCAGGTTTGCTCTGAGCATTTTTTTTTCAATTGAAGTTGCATCTCTTGGATTATCTTCCAGTGAATATTTTTTTCTGACATAATCATATTATGGTGGGAGAGATTTAAACATACTACAGTACTAACTTTCCCATTGATTTGGAAGCTGAGTGTTTAACTTTGAGCCATGACTTGTATAATCAGCATAATCTATTTTAATAGTTTGTAAGAAGCTTTGTTGTTTGTGTTTCTATACATCTAGGTGGTCCAAAGTCAATGAAAACTTGTTTGCAACAACTGGTTATCCAGGAAAAATGAACAGTCAGCTTCTAGTTCATCATTTAGGACATTCACAGGTATAATTTTATGAAAATCTGAAATGTAAACATTATGCTCGCTTTTTCCCCCGAAATTTCGGATGGCTCTAGGAATTTTGCATGATTGCAAGACAGAGTAAATATAGTCCATTGTTTGTTCGTCATGAGTCTGAAAGTGAATACAAGTGGATTTGGTGTAATTCTGAAGCCTCCTTATCAAACTATCTTAAGGAACAATGTCTGCAGTTACAGTGTCCAGAAAAGAGGAAATAAAAAGCACTTAGGCTGAACTCCAAAGAGCTGTTTTAAATATCCTCTATCCAAGAGTTTCTGCATGGCCAGGTTTTCTTTTAAGTTACTATTAAGCAGCAGATTCCCAAATAGCATGCCATACTGCAGTTTTTGTTTTAAGTTGCATCAGTTTCAGAAATATTTGGCCAAGTAGGAGGGAGACCTGCTGTTCAAGAAACAAAGCTCCCTGCAGATTTTGGCTATAGTATGTAGCTAAGAATGACATTAAGCATGTTAGAAACCACAAGTCCTGATTCATTTAGCTTTACAGTGTAAAAGGCAATTAGTTTTATTTCGCTGTGATTGACTCCTCATGAAATATATTTGTAGGTACTAAGGTTTGTTTGGATGCTAACTGGCTGCATGTGCACTCCTGGGGCTCCCATCTAACTTCTGACATTTGCTGCTCACAATACATGTTGAACTGATTGTGGAACTAAGTTTGTAATATACACATGAGAACGGCCTCTTTGAATTGACTGAGTCCATAATCATTTTTCCTCTTACTACTTTTGACTGTTGAGGTTTTTTTTTAAAGAATACATGCAAATACTCATGCAGGTGAAGCTCTGATTCCTAGTATGTAGCACATCTAAGGGGGAATTGGGTGAAGCAGCTAATATAAGTTTTGAGGTGATATGTTGGAAATGACCATAGGAGTACTAATTTCTATGTTTCAGACAGTTATTCACTAAGCAGAACAAGCTTTCAGGATACACAAAGCACAGACTTAACAGATCTTGCCGGGAGTCCAGCCAGGAGCCAGAGCCTGGCTGGGATCGGTCCTTGCCTCCCAGCCAGACCCACCACCGCCACATCCCTTTCCCTAACCGTTGGGCCAAAAGAGCTACAAAGAAGCAGCCTCTTTGCCACCAACAATTGTTTTTTTTTTAATTTCCCGCTACATTCCCCTGCCTTTTTTTTGTTCGTAGGTCAAAGCTCTGGCCACAAGTCAAAGCAAAATTTTGCGGTTGGAGCTGTTCGTAAGTCAGTTTGTTCGTAGATCAGGGCGTTCGTAAGTCAAGACACCACTGTATTTCTTTAGCGACACAAGTCCCAAGATAGAAGGAAGCATTAAGAATACTCAAAAAGTGGACTGGCAGTTAGTCTTTTCTTTTAAATTCATGCTGGATTTCATTTAGGTGATGTGTTTCGTTTGACCAGATAGGCGGTGTATAAATAGAATAAATAAATAAATAATTTAGGGAAAAGACTCATGGCTGATTTCCTTCCTAGCCAGAGATCGTAGAGGGTCACACCAAAGTTCCTTCAGAGCCTCAGCATTTGGTTTCTACCAATAGCCAGCCTGCTATGCATGGGGAGTTCATAAGCAAGACATGGGCAGAAACACCATCACTTGTTTGTCCCCAAGACTTAACATTTACAGGCTGAAGACTCTGAATGCAGAATAGGACAGTTGTGGTAGTTTTCTGTGACAAATTCTGAATCTAGGTAAAACAGAAAGGTGAACAAGCCCAGTTTATCCCTAAACCAATATTAGAAACTTCACAGAAGCAGTAAGCACAGGACCAGACTGAAGATGAATCAGTTGCTTCAGATGGTAGGTTCCAGATACAGTACTAGCCTGTTGCAAGAAATTTGAGTAGAGGGCTCAGTTTCAAGCAGCTTTTGGACTGAAGACTTTTGTGGTAGAATCTGATCTTCGTAAGTACTAAAACATGCTCTTCTAGCTTCCTATTTAAGATTATAAGCAAGCTCCTCAGAGATGGATGAAATCACTTTAGAAAGCAAATGCGGTAGAGAAGATGACTAGATAATATGGATCATAACACAGAAGATGAAGAATTCTTTAAAGCTATTTAGAAATTGATTACTTGTATAACTTGAATAGCAAGGCAAACTTTAAAAAAATCTCTTTTTCTCTCTGCAGCCCATTCTTATTGGTTCTGTGCCTGTAGGATCTGGCTTAACGTGGCATAGGACACTTTCATTATGTGCCATGGGAGGAGATCATAAAATCCTTTTTTGGGTAACAGAAATGTAAACATCTGTACATATCATGGGATATTGGTGTGCTGAGTAGATTATAGCATATACCGTATTTTAAAATTAGATGTAAAAACAAAATAAAAGTAAAAAAATAAAAAGACAAAAACATGGTGGCATGTTAAACTTTTATATTTTTTTTATGTCAGCTTTATTATATTTACCAGCCAAATAATCTAAGTGCCAAAATAACTGTATGCAGAAAATAAATAAAAAAAAACATTTTCAAGGTAAAATAGCTTATTTCTGGATTGTATCTTCATCAAATTTTTAAAAATGGGAATATGTTAATGTCTCTCCCAAGCAGAATACATACTTATTTAAGGATTAGAGTGTGCATGGAAAAAATTCCAGGTAGATTTCACATTGTATTTTGGTCAGCTGTATTGAATCTCTAAAATCCTGAATTGCAAGCATTTATGAAAGTGAAAACTGCTAGATTTCACAGCTAACTTTGATATTTTCCATATATCTAAAAGCAAAAACTTAAGTCAGAATTCTATTCTATAGAACACTTCCCATTTTCTAGAAATTAAAGGTTCTTCTGCATAGTTTGCTGAGCAAAAAGATGCATGGCCACAGTAAAAATGTATGAATTGCATTAAGGGTAAATTTATGGTTGAAGAATCACTAGAGTTTGTGAACTGCAGGGGATTGTGACCTTACATAAAGGCCGCTTACATAAATCAAATATTATTTTACTTTTGTTAAAAATCGAAGCGGGTGAGGGTTCAACTGACATAGCTGATCGCATGTGCTTTGAGTTAAAATTGCCCCCTTCTAACCCAAAAATCATATACTACATATCAGTGTGTTATGATCATTTTGTTACACATTAACATTCTGATTGTATTAGTTGTTTGACTTGTTGCCACAAATGTAAAAGCTACAATATGCAGTTTACATAAATGTACATTAAAACTATATATTTTCCACAGATGTTAATGTTGTTTATGACTACAAATTTGCATATCTCCCTCCCTTTCATTTCCTCTGTAATTTCTTTTCCCCACATTTATTTTGAGATCCGCAACAGAATGTCCTAGGGAACTAAAGTGTTCTGAAACGGCCATTATATTTCTGATATCCTCTTCAGTCTCCCAGAGTATCCTCTTGAAATGTTCTGAAATTGTATACAAAATCTCAGTTCTGTTTTAGTAATTTGCATTCTTATAAATAAGAAATTGGTCTGATGGCATTGCTGTTCTTCCAGTGCAGTCTTGTGAAAGTGTCTTTGAAATACAGAGACTTGGAGAAGTTCATGGGAAATTGGGGAGATCGGGTAGAGACCCTGCTGTTTGTTTTTTTTTTAAACCTTTTCAGGCGTTCACTGAACAAGTTTAGTAAACATAAATGTTGTGTGTCTGGATGATCAGGTGACATCTTATCTGGAAGTTACCTTGAACTAAGTAGCACTTTCTTTCTGTGTAGTGAGCTTATTGCTTAGTCTAGACGTTGTTTTCACTTCTATGCTGATTATCAGGGGAACACCTTGGTGATTGTCAGATTTATATAAGCAAGCATATGAAATTCATATAAACCATTGTAAGGCAGAAAGGCATGTCCACTTGCCAGATTCCTTGGCTGTTTAGATTAGTGATAATTAAAGAGAGCTGTTGCGAGGGAGTTCTGATTGGTTATTTTGTATATTTGTTTGTTTGCTGAAGGGAATGGTCCAATAAAAATTATTACCAATCATGTAGTATCACGTTTTCTGAATCCTCTCATTGTTTTCACTGGTGATGGACACAATATGTAGCCTTTCTGTCAAAACAAACTTTGTATTTCTTCTTGGTTAAATTCCATAACTACCACAATTCCAATGCTCATCCTTTAACTGATGTTCCTTATTTTGTAATTGTCTTTCAAAACGAACAATTGAGTTGCTGTCTTTCTCCCCCATTGAGCTGGCCCTGTGCATTTAAAGGCACGGAACACACAGAAATGTGGCAAAGGTTCTGCTATGATTTACCTCCATGTCAGCAACACCTACTTAGTTTTCTGTATACCAAGCTGCTCCTTAAAGGAACTGGAATAGGGCCAATGTGAAGTTGCATCCTGCATTCAGTGATACTGCACTATGGAAGACCCATTGCAACAGCAGATGCACATTTTCAGAATTAGCTCAAGAAAAAAAGTACATTTTGTACACTTGCACAAGTGGTTGGGCAAGTTCTTTCATGGCCTCTTCTGCAACTGTTTTACAACCACATGCATGAAGAGTCAGGGTTCTCGATCACATGTGAAGACAGTGGCAAGCAGAGGACAGGGCTAGAACTGTTCCCCTCATCATACTTTCTGATTGATGACTCCTTTCAATGTCTGAACAGGATAAGCAAGTGGATTCTTTGATACTGTCAATGGGAGAACATAATTCTTTACACTTAAAAGTAGTGACTGGGGAAGGGAGAGACGGAACAGACAGAGGAGCACAAAGTTTTGTTGTCTTGACACTTCACAGCTGCTCCCTGCCCTGCATCATCTGTTGCCTAAGCTGTCCACTTTGATACTTTTGAACATTTCTTGATTCTGATTTGTTATCATATATGTGTATTGTAAAGCCACCTAGGAAAAAAAATTTGCTCGGCAGGATATAAATTTGTAAAGTCGTAAAATACAATGGATAGAATCCTTGGTTTTATGCACACAAGAAATCATGGAAGTCACCACAGTGAGATGCCAGGTACATGGCAGATGCAGTTGGACACATGACAACATGAGACTGGCACCTCATTAATGAGCGCCTGCAGCTTCTGCAATACCTCTTGCATGCATATAAAAGTGATAGGATGGTTTTCAAACTTTTATATTTTACACCCACCCAAGCTTTGTACATGATCATGATTTTAACTCTTTCCATTTGACTAGCAGCTGATCTCAGTGGGATCCCTTAAACCCATTTTGCACACTTGACAAAATCCAAATAAAACTGTCACTATCCCATACCTACTTACCTAATAAAAATTCTACTGAATTCAATGGAGTTTACTCTTGAGCAAACACGTTGATTAGGCATCCTTCAGTCTCGAGAGACTATGGTAACATGCTCTGAATGGAGGACTGTATGTATAGGATTGTGCTATTAACCATACCACAACCACATAGAAATTAACCATGATGAATCTGTCCTATAGATTTCGTTGGGCTTTAGCTTTCTCTGGGTTTGGACCAGTGTTGTGTGGAGACAACATGACAATGATATATGGCTGCTGTTGCAGCACTAGGAGAAAAAGATCAACATTTAAAGGTGATGAAAGTAGCCTCAGCTATAAACTCCACACTGTTCACCTCTTTTTGTATTACCATAGATCAGAATAGCTGTTACCTGTGATTTCAGACAAACACTTGGTTTTTTTGTCTGTACATGCTTATGTCCTATTTCCTTTTCACCTTGATTATTTAACCTCCTCTCCTGCAGCTTACAGTCTAAATAGTTTCAAATGATTCTTTTTGAGTACATTGCGCTAATGCAGCTCAGTCTCATACATGTTTATTTCTTTGGCACATGACACTAATTTTTGGGAAAAATATAAGTATACAACCTACCGATAGGCTGCCTATCACCTTATGGACATAGAGAATTGATAGGGACTGATCCAGCTGAATGAATTTTTTGGATAGTCATTGAGTGTAGCTGGCTTTGTCTTGATGAGCATCTGCACTTGTAAGTATACCACTACATTACTGCTCTTAGATTATACCCAACTGAAAAAAGGCTAAAGATTGTTGTTTAGTTGTTTAGTCGTGTCTGACTCTTCATGACCCCATGGACCAGAGCACGCCATGCCCTCCTGTCTTCCACTGCCTCCCGGAGTTGGGTCAGATTCATGTTTGTAGCTTCAATGATACTGTCCAACCATCTCTTCCGTTGTCATCCCCTTCTCCTCTTGCCTTCACACTTTCCTAACATCAGGGGCTTTTCCAGGGAGTCTTCTCTTTTCATGAGATGGCCAGAGTATTGGAACCTCAGCTTGAGGATCTGTTCTTCCAGTGAGCACTCAGGCTTGATTTCCTTTAGAATGGATAGGTTTGTTCTCCTTGCAGTCCAGGGGACTCTCAAGAGTCTCCTCCAGCACCAGAATTCAAAGGCATCAATTCTTCGGCGATCAGCTTTCTTTATGGTCCAGCTCTTGCTTGCATACATCACTACTGGAAAAACCATAGCTTTGACTATGTGGACCTTTGTTGGCAAGGTGATGTCTCTGCTTTTTAAGATGCTTTCTAGGTTTGTCATCGCTTTCCTCCCAAGAAGCAGGCGTCTTTTAATTTTGTGGCTGCTGTCCCCATCTGTAGTGATCATGGAGCCCAGGGAAGTAAAATCTGTCACTGCCTCCATATCTTCCCCTTCTATTTCCCAGGAGGTGATGGGACCAGTGGCCATGATCTTAGTTTTTTTTTATGTTGAGCTTCAGACCATTTTTGTGTTCTCCTCTTTCACCCTCGTTAAGAGTTTCTTTAATTCCTCCTCAATTTCTGCCATCAGAGTGGTATCATCTGCATATCTGAAGTTTTTGATATTTCTTCCAGTAATCTTAATTCCAGTTTGGGATTCCTCCAGTCCAGCCTTTTGCATGATGTATTCTGCATATAAGTTAAATAAGCAGGGAGACAATATACAGCCTTGTCGTACTCCTTTCCCAATTTTGAACCAATCAGTGTTTCCATATCCAGTTCTAACTGTTGCATTGGCAAGCCACTCCAGTATCTTTGCCAAGAAAACCCCATGAACAGAAACAAAAGGCTAAAAGGCTAAAGGTTACTGACAATAATTCTGATCTCAGTGAAGTACAGTTCACAAAGACTGCATGGCACTGAAAAAGTTTTCTGTCTACCTAATATGTACATAAAGGCAATGCATACAGTGAGTAACATGGAGACACCGCCCCCCTTTCGTGCAATTTAAATTGAGTTGTTGAATACTTAGTAACTACATAAGGAATACAGTCTAATGTCATAATCAGTATGGCACATATAGATATACAGAGAAAGAATTAATGGGAAACACTCCATCATCTCTCCTTTATAAACTGAACATATGGGATGCAACTCCAGAAATACGTTCTACTTCATCCTTTAAAAAGCAGACAAATAAAAATCTGTTATATTACAGCTGCAACTCCAGTTCACATACCTATGCCACAACATCTGTACTATTTCCCAAATCTATTTTTTCCTTTTCTTTGCGGACGGAGGAAATCATGGAAAAATATGCAGCAGCATTTCAAATACGATTTAGAAACAGAAATAAGACTAGGCAGAGAGACACAGAAGTTATATACCTATTGAAACAAAAATCGGTTTTGGTTTTCTTGAGGCGACTGTTTTAACTTTCGAGTGACCGAACTACAGCTCCCAGGATGCAAGGCGGCCGGACTCGCGAATGCTTCCCTTCACGGTGTTCTCCTGCCTTCTGAGTGCTAAGGGGGCGGGGTTGGGAAAGAGAGGGGGGGGCATCAGAAATCGCTTCCGGGAGGAAAGGTCACGACAGACGCGTCTCGGGATGTGTTTTGGTCGCGAGGCTGCTTCTGGTCTCTTTGAGCCCGTGAGGGGCCGCTGGGGATGGACGAAGACGGGTTGCCGCTCGTAGGCTCGGGCATCGACCTGACCAAGGTATAGGGAGGCTTTAGAGTCCTGGGCCTTCCGTTTTTCTTAGGCTGACGCTGAAATGGCCGGTCTCCGTCCTTCCCTGGGCGAGCAAGTCGATGAGGGAACGGCCCCTGAAGCCACTTGCTCCTCGTCACTTCTCAAGAGAAAGAGACACACACCTCAGCGCTCATTGCTTATTCCCTCCTCCTTATGGGCGATCTGAAGCATCTAAACTCTTGTGGAGTGGCTCAGGACAGTCAGTTTGTTCCAGCAGGTCCCTTGTATCTTTGGCAGGCAGAAATCGAACAGGAGAAGCTCAGCCTGTGGTATCATTTAGTGGCAGAAGGCTTCTGTACATCCAGGTCATGCAGTTTGCTAGCGAGGGGAAAAAAAGAATTAACTAGGGGAAGACTGGAGGCCGAAGGGTAACCAGCTGGGAATTTATTTTTATTTTTGTGGTCATGGTGTCTATCTGAATTCTAAATAGTTTTAAAAGGCAATCATAAACATAATTACCTATGAGTAAGCCTGGCTGATTTTAACAGGGCTTATGTAGAGATGTGAAATTTCTATTTTTCCAAAAAAAAAAAAGTGGGGAAAATGTGTGTGGACTTTTTGGAGAAATTTTAAATCTCTACTTCTGAGTGGATGTGGGTCAGATTGCTGTTTAGACTTCCTTCACCTTTACTTGCCTCTGAGTGAGTTAGTTAATTTTCATTTTAGTTGTTTGTTATATTCATGGCTTTCTCTCAAGGATCTCAAGTTTGGGGCAACACACAGCGCCTTTCTCTCTTGTCTTCCTCCTTGCAAAAAAGTTGTTAGCTACATTAGGTTGAGACATAGTGTCTGGCCCAAGGTGGAGGGGGAAAAGGACCCATTTGTAAGATTGCTTCCCCTTCCTCAGTCAGTTATGTAACTGGGAATATTATAGCTACTAATATTAATAACACAGTTTCCTTTATTTCATAAGGCCCTGGTTTAATCATAAGTTTCTGCACTGTCCCCAAAACATGTGTCCCCCCCCCCCCTCTGGATCAAGTTCACTTGTACATAGATTTGCTTTGATTTTGTTCTGGAACAGGCTAGGAAAGGCTTTGGTAACTATCCTGGAATACCAGGAGCCATTCCAATTCACATGGGAGAATTTACAAGAATAATCTGTCCATGCTGATTTGGAAAGGTACACAAGTTATTAGCTTGTGGAAGGTTGCAGGAACAGCATGTACTGAATTCTCGGTGAATGTTTATGTTAGGATTGAATGAGCTACAATGTAAGTAATCCCAATAAGGGATTTTTGAAGTGTTTTTTGGAATGCTTCCTCTGATATGGTGAAATATTAATGAAGGAAACTCAAGTTTAACACATACACATCTGAAGATTACTGGTTGATCTTGAAGGTGGTCACTATCTTGCTGCATAAAACTTCCGACATGGCAGTTGTGATTATAATGGAGGTGGGGGAGAGAAAGAATATATGCTGTTTGGCATTACAGGGTAAAAGTGCAATAATTCCTGGGATTCCTTAGAATCCCAGAAAGGCTTCTTCAGGTCCTCTTTTCTCTGGAAGACTGCTGGTCATAATCACTAGTCTTCCTTTACAACTTTGTTTTTATTCTTTGGTCACACCTATCTTTCAAACTTCAACTCCCAGAAGTCTTGATCATTGACTATGCTGGCTGGGACTTCTGGGAGCTGATGTCCAAAACATCTAAACTAGGCCATACACTGCAGCAGCCACACAAGAGTTCCTTGGCAAACAAATTGAGAACTCGTGAGTGTCTTCAAAGACAAAAAAAAAACTACAAAAGGACTACTGTAAAGAGACATTAAAATGTGTCCAATGCTGGAGAGAAGTATGATTAAGCGAGTGCAATGAGTTCAGCTAATGACAGAAGCAGTTGAATGGTGGGGGTGAAAAGGAAATGATGTAGATGAAGTCGATGAGGAGAAAATTAGTGTTACAGATCATAAGAAAATGCCTTTTTAGTATTTCTGATGTTGTGTTTTGTTGCATTTTGACAGTACTGTATATACACGATTCCCTGGGACAGTACTTTTCAATGTCAGTCTGTTCTATCAAAGGGATTAAGCTTGATGCCTAAGAATGAAGATGCAACATGTAGGAGAGAGGGAAGTTGCTTTGACATAAGGGCCTCTTGAAGCAGCAAATTAAGGTTTCTCTGACTTATTGCAGAAATACTTCAAAGATTTGTTATAAAATGTACAAACCAGTTGATAGGGAGCAGGATAAGACATGATCACAACTGATCTCTTGCTTTTCTGTAGCAGTTATGGGTGATCAGTTTCTTAAAAAAAATCCTGAAACAGGAGAATATGTGGCATGGGCTTTGCTGCTGGTGTGGAGGGGAATGATTATGTTCTTGTTAGTGTTAAGTGTTGAAGACTTGAAATGACTGATAGATAAAACCAGGATTCACACTCATTTGCTGCCTTGGATTTGTGGTGGTACTGTCAACATGTTTTTTTTAGTTAATTTTTAATTTTATTTTTTAAAAAACACCCCATAAACCTAAGTTGGGATTTATTACTTCACATAATTAACCTGAAAAAGCCACACTGGATGGGATCAAAGATATATCTAGTGTAGCGTTCTTTTCATACAATTCCTCAACAGTCCTCTCATCTCACAATCCACAGCAACAAATACACATGGTCATAGTGTCTTTGTTACTAGGAGAAAACTGTTTTCCCAGAACAGAGACAGTGTCAGGAGATAGTGTCAGGAGGCACAGCATTTCCCATAAGATTTGGCCCATGAGTGTGTTAAGAAAGCTGTCACTTAAATTAATGATTTAAAGCTATACTTGTTGATGCCATCTAAGGGCTCAATCACAACCTCCAGTTATACTCATTTGGCCATTATGTAGATCATTTCATAATCTTCTGTTCACGTGATGCATGACCAACATTGATTTATTTGCCCAAGCAATTGGTTTATTTCTCCCTCACTGAGCAGATTGTTTTAAATTGTACTGATGATGTATAACTCCATTCCTTATTGTTTCATTGTGTGTAAATGTTCCTGTCTATTTATTTCCTTTGTGAAGAGGTTGGCTTTCCACACACTATGGCCACTTCATGGCCACTGTGCTTGTACCCTTTAAAAAAAATCTAAAAGGGATAGCGATAAATTGCTAAATTGAAAAAATCTAAAAGGGATAGCGATAAATTGATAAATTGCTGCTACTGCTGCTGCTGTAACAAATCAACATGAATACATTGCTCAGAAGAAGACCACCTCCCACCCTCCTTGTGGGTGAAGGACAGCTTGAGATTTCCTGCTTTTAATTTTAAAGAAAGGAGCACTGCAATGTTTAAACCCTGCTCTTTACAATACTTTGCAAGTCTTTTAAAACCCTCTTTCTCCTCCCGACATTGTACAAAAGGAAAAAGAAAAATGACAGGCTAGAACTAAGAGGGAAAGGTAAGGAAAAGGGGATGAGTGAGCAAAGGAGGGAAGGGAAACGGGGAGGAGGAAGGAATGCTCTTATCATTTCATCAATATATCACCTTTGGTAATTTAAACAAATTGACAAGGGTGAGCCTGATTGTCCCAACAAACAGTAGAGAAAATCAATTGATACAAAATTAAAGAGCAGTGTAGCCCACTACAACAGTTCAAATAGAAAGAAATGAAACAATAAAAACAATGTAAACATTCCCGGTGATGTATATACCATGTGACAGCAGAAAAAAAGTATCAGTACAACAGAAGGGTTAAGTGAATTAGTATAAATGGGGTTATTTTTACATGTGTGATCAGCAAGAATAGCCCACATTGAATGAGTGGGAACAAGTTAACATTTAATATAAGTACAGTGGTGCCTCGACTTACGAACTTAATCCGTTCCTGAAGATGGTCATAACTTGAAATTGTCGTAAGTCGAAGCATTTCCTATAGGAATGCATTGGAACGCAATTAATGTGTTCCAGATGAAAAAAATTACCAAAAGAAACCCCATTGCAAGCCCCATAGGAACACATGGGGGGCAAAAACAAAAATGACCAAAAACAAAAGAAAACAAAAAACAATGCAAGCCCCATTGGAACGCATCAGGGCTGGGAAAAAGACCACCACCAAAAAAATGCAAGCCCCAGCTGAACACTCTGGGGCTGGAAAAAAAATCACCAAAAAGAATAACAACACAGCAAGCCCCATCAGAATGTGCTGGGGCTGAAAAAAAAAACAAAGAAAAACACAAACAGAGCAAACCCAATTGGAAAGCTCTGGGGCTGAAAAAACACAGAGACACACACACAACACAAACAGACCAAGCCCCATCAGAATGCGCTAGGGCTGAAAAAACGCACGCATGTGTGCACACACAAATACATACACAAACAAAAACAGAGCTAGCCCCATTGGGGTTTTCAGGCCTGGGGCTAGAAAAAAAACCAAAACACAAAAAAAATCACAGCACAGAAACATAACCCCCCCAGCCCAAACCCAACCTGCAAAACCCTGTATGTACTCAGAAGCAGAAAGCAGCACCTGGCAGTCCAAAGCCTCCCCCGATGCACACACTCTTAACGGTTGGGGCGAAAGAGCTACAAAGAAGCAGCCTCTTTGCTGGCCAACGGTTAGTAATTTAAATTCCCCACCTTTTTCCCCGATCATAACTCAAAGCTCTGGTCACAAGTAGAAGCAAAATTTTGAGGCCGGAGCTGGTCGTAACTCGAATTGGTCGTAAGTCGGGATGGTCATAAGTCGAGGCACTACTGTACCATTGATTCAAGCAGAATTAACAGTTAAGGCTGTAGGGTTAACCTTTGAGAACTCCCATGTCTTGCTGAACTCACTTGAACTTAGGGTTTGTCGTTGTGGCAGTGGAGACAGATTGTAAGTTTCACATTCTGGAAAGGGCATAGGATGGATTCTGGAAGTGTACTAAACACAGTTGTAGAAATAGTTTTATAATCTTGCACCAAGAGCCTAAAAACTGAACTCTAAATCAAACTGATAGGACCAGCTAGAGTGATTTTATTCAGGCTTATATGTCCGTTTCATCTTTGTGGAGCCCATGGCATCTCAAATTTGTATTGGATGGAAAAGAACATGGTTTGCTCACTTTTTGCATGCTAAGAAAATTGGCAGGAGCTGCTAATATGGGAGAAGAGAGGATTACATTTGCATGACTTGAAACAATAGTTTGTAAATAATGAGGCAAAATTCCATGTATCTGAAGCAAAACCAGGAGAAGTATATAAATTCAGACTATGAAGAGGGAGAAAGATCTGAAGGTTATACTGAATCCATCATGATGCTATTATGTTTTTGTGTGTGTTTGTACAATGCAGGTTCCAGCAATCCAGCAGAAGCGAACAGTGGCATTTCTAAACCAGTTTGTGATCCACACAGTTCAGTTCCTTAACCGATTTTCTACTGTTTGTGAAGAGGTATGGATACATGGCCTACGTTGCACACACACCCAACCCCCATTCTCTGTGCATGTGTGCTGCGGACTGAATTTCTAGAGCTTGCTGTCCATTTGCATTGCATTTCATGGCTAGATGGAAATTCAGGAAAGAATCTCCTAATCATCCCTTTGAAAGATACTCTTCAGATAAATGAATGTTTACGTAAGGGGAAGCAGTTGGTATCTAGGTGGGTGTAGTTAAATAATGCAGTGGGACTGGAAAATACCTAGTTTCACTTTTTACGTTGATTTTAGAGTTTTCCCCTCTAAGCTTTTTTAATTAGATCAGTCTAGTGTGTTTGATTTTGACCAAACTCTGGGAAGCAGTGGAAGACAGGAGGGCCTGGCGTGCTCTGGTCCATGGGGTCATGAAGAGTTGGACATGACTTAACTACTAAACAACAACAACAAAGTGTGTCTGATGAAGGGTACTCTTATTTGTTGCTGTTGTTAACCTTTTGGGAGTCAAAACCTTTTGCCTATTCATTGTCATTTAACTTGAAATCTACCAGTACAGGCGGACCCCCATATCTATAAGATCAGTATTGATGGTTTAACTTATCCACAGTCTGAAAAAAATTAAAATATTAAAAGAAAAACTATAAATACTGTATTTTTCCATGTATAAAACTATACTTTTGTCTAAAATCTTTAGACTAAAAATTGAGGGTTGTCTTATACACGGAAGTAAACTGAGGAGAGAAAAAACAAGTGGAGGGGAAAGCAGGGATCAAAGTGATCCTGCAGGGCTTTGATCCCTGTTTTTCCCTCCACTTGCTAAGCCTTAGCAAAAGGAAAGCAGGGATCAAAGCACTGCAGGATGCCTTTGATCCTTGCTTTCCTTTCTGCTTACTAAGTCCCATAGGGCTTAGCAAAAGGAGAGGGAAAGGCTCAAAGCAATCCTATGGCTGTATAAGGGGGAAAGGAATCAAAACGATCATGCAGTTGCAGGATAGCTTTGATCTCTTTCCCCCTCATTTTGCAAAGCCGCGCGGGGCTTAGCACAAAGGGAGAAAGCAGGGATCAAAGCAATCCTCCAGTGCTTTGATCCCTTTCCCCCTACACTTGCTAAGCTCCACTTAGATTTCTTAATTTTGGGTTAGAAAAGTGTGGGGGGTATCTTATACATGGGGGCATCTTATACACAGAAAAATACGGTACTTATTTCTTGTTGTTGGAATACATAGTGGTCTCACCCTCTAGTGGCTTAAGTGTGACTTTTCCTTCCAGTTTCCTGTCTAAAATTTAATGGGGTTTAGTGGTTCCCAGTTCTGAGCTGAAGGCGTCTTAGTGCCAGAATCTTAAACCTAAGAAGCAAATATTGAACCCACAAACATTGGGATTTAGTAGCCAGAAGCTATATCCCTCTCTTAAGTTATTAAATGTCACTTTTTAATTGTATCAAATCTGGTTTGGGAAGGCCCATGTCTCCTGACCCTCTGTGGCTGCAGGTTCCAGCTACTAGGCACGAAAGCTCTTGTAGGTTTGTCCCCCACCCACATCCCACTCCCATGTTTTTTTAAGCCTAGCTAAGTGAGGGGAAGTAGTATATACCTATGTTAGCTGGTAGCTTATTTTATTATATCTTTATTTTGTTTATAACATTTTTATGATACTCATCAGCCAAAAAGACTCTCAAAGTGGCTTATATATAATCAATTTTAAAAACATAATCCTTATCTTCAAACATCCAGTCTGAAAGAACACCGCACAAAAGAGTGGGATAGGTAGGGAAAGGGGGTAATACTAGGGTTGGTACAATGATCTTGACTGCAATTTTATCTCCCTCCACTGGAAAGGCTCCTAGGACTGACAGCTGCAACAGTGTGTTTAAAATGTTCAGTCCTTGGGCCACCTTCCTTCATGTAGGTCAAAAATAAACAAACAAAAAAAGATTTTCCATATATAAATGGTCTGAAATAAACTAATTTTGAATAAGAATTAAAATGCTGTTTTTTAAGCACAGATTATTGACAATCCTAAAAGTTTGTGTGTGGTCTTTTCTCTCTCTCTTTTTAATGTCATCCATTCTGTGGACAAAGAACCATCTATAAAGAAAGAGATGGAAACCAAAAAGTCTTTAAAAAACAACGACACCCGTCTGTCAACATCTGTACCCTCCTCCTACCATTATGTTAGCTGGATGGCATGTTTCTCAGGGTGTAAAAGGTTTTGGCTCGACATGCCTGGCAAAAATGTTCTCCTCTGCCAGGAGACAGTGAGAATGCTTTAGACCTGCCAGGCAACAGGCTAGCCGAAGCTGGTTGCATATGGCAACAATTAGTTAAGCTGCCATATTGGTTCCTATGGGTTTAACTTTCTGCAAATAAGCTTGCATTTTAAAAGAACTCTTACTTGACTTGCTGTGCTTGCTTCTAAACCTGAGCAGTGTTTATAGGTGAGCCCTGCAAGATTTTGTTGGTAGCTTAATAAGTAACATTAAGAACATGCTTGTCCTGAGTCTTGTATGATGAATGTTGTTTTTACACTATATTAATTGGTCATAGTACTCTATGTGGCAGTAATGGCCAACAAAAAACAGCCTTTCCTTCTAACAAAACTGGCAGCTTTTTTTAAAAAAAGCATTTTACATTTTATCTAAGGAGATAAGAAAAAACCTGTCTGTATTGTAGTTGTTTAGTTTTGTATTTGTCAGTGTGAAGATAACTCATGCTTCAGTGCATAAGATCAATTGCCTTCTTAGCACCTACTTATTTATTTTTATTTTATTACTTTTATTTTATTTTATTTTATTCCAATCCACTTCCAGTCAGTCTCCCTGAATCAAATTGCAACATATCCTTAAATTTTGGCTAGGTTTAAAAGAAATGCTTGTAAGTAACAGAAGACAGAAAAAGTCCCCCCCCCCAAAAAAAGGTCCCAAGTTAAAAGCATAGGCAAGTAGGAGCAAATGTGTGCTCAAATGTTTTTTGAACTAGCATCTGTGCAAGATATCTTTGTGATATGAGTACCACTCTGTTCAGCGATTAATATCAGAGCCTTATGTGATAATCTCTAACTGTTCATAAAATATTCCAAGCCAAGTCTAACAAGGCTTAAGTTCTGCACATTGTTCTCCAAAGACCTTAGGCAGTAGAAATATGTGTGGTTAGTAGATAACATGTTGTGCTAAGACTTAGGAAACTTGGTTTCGAATCCTCTTCTCACCCATGGAGACTCACTGTGGTGGCAGAATGGCAAAGATAAACCTCTTTTCAAACATGCTACATACCTCAAAAGCCTTTCTAGAGTCACTCTAACTTGGAAGCAACTTGATGACACACAGGGTGGATAAAAAGCAATGGTTTTTTTAAAAAATCAAATTAATTTAAATCACAATTTAAATTACGATTTCAAATTAAAAGATTGATGTTTTGATTTAAATAATCAAAAATTCAGTTTTTAAAATGTAAATTGTGATTTAAATCAAATCCACCCTGATGACACATAAAACCAACAAAGCCATGGAGCAACTATCAAGAGAGTGTTAGGGTAGGACTGGCAGTGAGTAAAGTGTCGGGTAATATTTCACTCCTTTCTTTCCCAGAAATTGTCCGCCCTTTCCCTCCGTATTCAGCAAATTGAAACAACACTCAACATTCTGGACGCAAAGGTTTGTTTATAATTTTTTTTCTCCTTCTTATTGGTAGTGTTCAGCATATTTGAAGGTATTGCCTGTGCAATAATTTACAGTTTTAATCAAAACCACTTTTGGCTGCAGGCAGAAATGAATGTATTTTTAGACAACTGGAATGTAAAGGAAGACAGGAAGTGGATAGCTACGGTAGGGCAAAAAGAAAGCAAGGAAGGCCTGAGTGACAAGTGTTTCATTGATGTAACTTGCAATTCTCAGACAGTGCTTAAAGGGAATATGTACCAACTGCTGGGTGATCAGCTAAAGATGTTCTGTTCTTGACACACTCCATTTTTAGTTATCCTCCATCCCTGGCTTAGAAGACGTCAAATCTGAAGTATCCAGCACCGGCATCACAAATGGCCCAGTCCCACAAGCCTCGATAGATCCACAATCAACAACTGTATCTCCTCATTTAAAGGTATAAATATAGATGCATGGGTGGAGAGGATGATATAGCAATAAGTATAATATATGTAGTCTGAAGGAACTGATGTTTCCCAAGTAGGTTTTCCCTTGGTTATGTCCCTCCTTTAGAACTTGTTCTCCACGTATTGCATAAAGATTGACCCGCATTGTATTCTGTGTCCAGCAGGGCAGTGTGCCTGAAGTGGCACAGCAGAGGACAGAAGAAGCTGCAAAAAATGTCACAACTGTAGCAAAGGATCCACGCTATGCCAGATATCTAAAAATGGTCCAAGTGGTAAGCCGTGCTTCTTAGTCGTTTTCAATTGCCATATCTGAGTGTGTTTTCAGGAAACCATCTTCCAAAGTAATCTTGACTATCTTCTTCAGCTTCCTGTTCACTAATCCCCAAACATTTGGACAACGTTCCTGTTTTGAAGTGACACACGTCTATTGCACTTCCTAGGCAGTTTCACTCCCCATATGTTGTGAATTTGACAGGGTTGTGGTTACAGTTCTCAAGGGGTTTAGAAACATATTTCTCAACCTATCTAGCCACAGTTCATGTCTGAGATTAACTGTTCTAAAGCACAGTTGTTTTTTCATATCATAAATGTTGATTTTTTTCTCCTTCATAAACAGAATTTGCATGTTACCATGTAAGGACAGTTTAAGTTGTCCATCTCAGAGCACCCTTATTTAATGTGTTGTGAGATATCTATAGTGGTTTTTATATTCAATGAATTGTGGCCAGAAGTAAAAGCCTGTTTTCTTGAAAATAAAACTTAACCTGAAAATAAGCCCTAGTATGATTTTTTCAGGATGCTCATAATATAAGCCCTACCCCAAAAATAAGCCCTAGTTAAGTGAAACCCCACCCTCCACCATTGTGCAGCAACCAGAAGATGACATGACTGTATTTGAATAAATGTAGATTGTTGTACATGAAAACAAATAAAACATCCTCTGAAAATAAGCCCTACTGCATTTTGGAGCAAAAATTAATATAAGACCCTGTCTTATTTTCGGGGAAACACAGTATGTGACCAAAGTAATTGTGTTGCTTCTATTGCTCTACTTGTGATAGCCTTTCATGATGACCTGTTTGGAGATCTGTTCTCTCTTTCTTGCTTTGATTTGTTTCCTGTACGTGTTGTGCTGGCCACAGATACCCTCCCAGACCAGTTGCATGGCTTGTATTGCTCCACTTGTAGTGAGCTTTCACCATGAGCGCATGATTGCAGATGAGTTCAGAGCAGGGCAACAAGGATGATTGAGGGACTGGAAACCAAGACTTATGAGGAAAGACTGAAACAACTGGACATTTTTAGCCTTGAGAAAAGAAGAGTGAGGGGAGATACAATAGCACTTTTCAAATACTTGGAAGGTAGTTGTGCAGAGGAGAGGCAGGATCTGTTCTCAATCAGCCTAGTGTGCAGGATATATAATAATGGGCTCAAGCTACAGGAAGCCAGTTTTCAACAGAATAGCAGAAAAACCTTCTCAACTGTTAGAGCAGTGTGACAATGGAACCAATTGCCTCAGGAGGTGGTGAGCGCTCCAGTGCTAGAGGCATTCAAGAGAAAATTGGACAACCATCTGTTAGATCTGCTTTGATTTAGATTCCTGTCTTGAGCAGGGGGCTGGACTGTATGGTCTTATGAGTCATTTCCAGCTCAATTATTCTGTGATTCTATGAGCTCCTCCAAAGCAGGCTGGCTTGAAAAGAGCCAAGAACAGTCTCGCTAGCATCCTCTGACTTCCTGGTGGCAACGAGTACAGAATGTCAAGAACCACTAAATTCCACAACCTGTCTAAATTATCTCAACTTAATATTATTGTATAACTTGTCTTATTCTGCTTAATCGATTTTGAATATTCTAATTCAAGAGTACAAGCTGCATGTCAAATGTGTCCCTTGGTTGTGGGCTGTGTGGCATACAGCTGATCAGCTGGCTTGGGAGAGGAGGTTTTATTTGTTTGTTCTGATTTGTTTTTTTGCTAAATAGAGAAATCTGTTATCTCTTACTAATGATCCAAGATAAGGGCCATTTAAAGGCATTTGTAATGAGTTGTGTTGTCTATGATTGTTTAAAAAAGTTTGTATTGATAAAAATTGGATCAGAGAATGTGTGTCCCTGTATGCATATATCTGGATGGGTGCATGCATTTACAACCTTGCTCTTCCAGTATCTGTGGAAGTGAGCTTCAGAGCTAAAAGATTGGGCACCTTTGTTCTCCTTGAAAGATAGGTATGATGTGGTCACTAAAATTCTTACTCACTCATCCAGTTTGACCTCAGCAGACATTGCACATTATTTTATTTTGTTTGTTTAAAATATTTTTACTACACCTTTCTCCTTAAAAAGGACCTAAAGCAGCTTATATCGTTAAGCTAGAAACGATAAGTAATCACATATTTAAAAGGATCAGACAGCTACCACTCCGAGAAATGGCAAACAAAAGCAATAATAGAAACAGTCAAAGCAGTGATGCATAACAATCCATCTAAAAAGATCATGTTCAGGCAGCCAGTCATCGAGGGAAAGCTTGCCTGAAGAGAAAGATCTTTGTCTGCTTGCAGAAGGACAGCCAAGATGGGGCCAGTCTGAACTTCCTGTGAGAGGAAGTTCCAGAAGACTTTCAAGTATATCAGGGGTCTCAAACTTGCGGCCCACGGGATGATCGTTTGTGGCCCCCGCCTTAATGTGAAAGTTTGATGTTAGTGCCACCCACGAGTTTGATATGTATGGCACTTTACAGTGTTGTGTGTGGAGTTGAACGAAGCTACCAATCACGGTGGGGTATATGGCTCTCGCGGGCGGGACATCGGCCGGGCTTGATGCAAGCAGAGATACATTTCTCAATGAGTGAAAGTTACAGCAGCATTGCCATGAAGTATTTTCTTCCATGCCTGGCCGGCTGCCTCATTTCTATTAGGCACGTGCGCACATTCGTCCCAGCGCGCTCCGTTCACACACCTTCAAAAAAGTTTTTTTAAGTTGCTGCCTAGAGGGACATTATATGTATATATATAAATGTGTACACACACACACACACACGTACGTACGTCAATGGCACGTAGAAAGTTAATATGAGGTCTCCCTCTCTGATAAAATTAATCGGTTGTGTACGCGGCAAGATAAAAGAAAAGTAAGGAACTCAATGCAGCCTCCCCGGTAACCCAGAGCAATTATAGGGTTGCACCGTTATTTGTGGGTCATTGTTTTTTATTTGCATTGCGCTATTTGCATTACCTCACACAATGAACATTACATATATTTCTATATGATGTTAAAGTCATCAAAACAAATGACATCAACAATAGCATGGTGTTGTTTCCGCTTCTTTTTCCTGTAACAACAGCACGGCGGATAACAGTCTGTGAGCAGTTGCCTTTTTTGCGCTCACTAACCCAGTACTTTCTACCATCTACAAATGCCATGGTGTCATGTCATCATGAAAGACATGAACATCGAGCGTAAAAACAAAGGAGACTGCTACTGGGCTTTTATCCGCCAACCACCATGCTGCAGTTACAAGAAGAAGAAGCGAAAATGACGTTCTCCATGCGTTGAAATGTTTGCCATGCATTGGCTAAACGCTTGATTGAAACTTCAATGCGACAGTGACACCAAGTAGAATTATATATATTACACAGCCCCAAGCATGTCTTTTTCAAAGCCTGCAGTGAAGAGAAAGGTTGGTGAAGAGCACAGACAATTTCAGGAAACGTGGGAAATGCAATATTTCTTTGTTGAGCACAGGGGCACCCCAACGTGTCTTATTTGCACAGAGAAAATTGTGGTCCACAAGGAATACAATTTGAAACATCATTACACAACTAGACACGCTGAGGAGTATGCAAAATACCAGGGAGATGAGAGAGCCAACCAGGTTGCCAATCTTAAAACATGTCTAGTGAGGCAACAAGATTTCTTCAAGAAAGCAACCAAAGAGAATAATGCAGCAGTCGAAGCTATCTACATGGTTAGTGAGATGATTGCTCCAACAGAATTGTGGCATTCACATAGCCCTGAGCAGGAAGTGCAGGTGACTGTGTCTTTTTTTTTCCTGAAGAGGTTCATCTGTGTTTACTAGGCCAGAGTGCAACTCTAGATAGTGATATAGTAGCTATTGCTTTGCTGTTCTAAAACAAATTGCATGAAAAAGTGAGAATATGCCATTTATGCCTTTCTTGGGAGCACAAAGCAAAGACATTCTCAGCCTCTCTGGAGTCAGGAAAGCTGGAAAGAATGATTAGGTACAAGAGGCCAAAGCCATCCATGTTTCTTATTCCCCAGAGTTGTTTGGTGGGACAAGGGAGAGGCCTTACACACCCGTATTTTCCTTTTGCTGGAGAAGAAAATGGAAAGAAGTCTTCACACATTTTCCTGAGAGGTGCTTTTCTGCCTTCACACCATGGAAGTTGGTCTTTATTTTTAACCAGCTGTTGGCATGTTTTCCCTTTGGGCCATGATGTCCAACCTTCCTTAAATTAAAATGGAACTAACGGCTTAATTGGGTTGCTTGTGCCCAGGAGTTGCTGTTGAGTCAGGCGCTAGTACAAAGCACTCATGTTAAGTTGGGGTGTTAGGATATTCCATCAGGTCCTTTTTTGCTGGCCCACACAATTTTCCTGTGAATCTGGAATAGCGTACTGGCATTGTATGGCTAGGTAATTATTGCTGGATTTGGAAAAACTGATGTGATGACTGAAAAGAGAATGCTTGGTTGACAGTTCGCTGTAATGGTGCCTTCCAGAACTATTAGACTACAGCTCCCATAATCCCATAGCTGGTTGTGGGATTATAGGAGCTGACATCCAATACATCTGGAAGGCATCAGGTCACCACAAGCTGCTTTAATGCAGAAGTTCTTGATCATTGGCCTTCTAGATGTTTTGGATTTCCAGTTTCCAGAAGCCATATTCAGAATACCCCAATAGTAAAGGGATTCTCGAAGTTGATGTCAGAAGCATCTAGAATGGCAAAAACTGAGAACAGCTGCTTTAATGGCAGTTTATACCTAATTTAGGGTAGCTGAATTTGTGGAGGGAGCATCTGAACTCTGTTCTTACAGTGATTGTGTAGTGGAAAGGTACTCTTTGCATGTTTTCACAAACATTTCTCTTAATTTGACAGAGCCTTTTAACTACAGTATTAGCAATTCATTGTTCTGTTGCGGTTTATGCTCTCACATATGTCCCACTCCCAAATGCTGGAAGACAAGTGCAGCCATATGTTTCCTGTGAGAGTAGTAGATATCAAATATTGAGCCTCATCCAGTAAACAAAGG